TGGCATAGATTTACACATATTTTGATAGAAAAAAACTTTGAGCTCTATTAATTTGATAAGTAAAACATACTTTTACAACAATAAAGTTTTAACATGTTATGGATAGGCCGTAGGCCATACGTACATAGCATGCGCTGATCATACTACAACCTGACAACTATAGCATAGCAGTATTACTCCTTATATTAGCATGGAGATAATAAATATTCCGAATACATTACTTGAGAATTTGAAAATTTGACTCATAGAAGTCCAACAATCTCATACGTACGTTCAGATATCAGATGTTTCTGTCGACACGGCTAGCAATCTTTCTGTCGTGGAGTGAGTTTACAAGCAAGATTCGAATCGCATAATACAAGAATCAAATGAATTTAAGAAAAACAGACATATATGTGCGGACTTGCATTGTGATACTATGCAAGAGCAAGACACGCAATGCGAATAATTAAGATACAATAACGACCTCACTAACCAAACTGTTGATTGGATAATAAAAAGTCTGCATGATAGTAGTAACATGATAGTGCTACACTTACAAACAGAAAATTGAAGCACTTTTCAATAGACTTTAGATAGCATTTGCCGAACTGAAAATGCCATAAAGCTAGTACACTATAGCCACAGGCTACAATGGATACATGCTGCCGGCCTCTATGGTCCAACTTTCCCCCTCACCTCATCAAGAATCGATGGGAATTGCTACGCCAGCTGAACAAAACCATCTGTTAACACAACCTTCTTGAAGTTCTTCTCCTCCGCAATGAAGTCAATGCACTTATTTTTCAGTTGCGGGCAGTTATATGTTTCAGCGCAGATCAAAGTGGCAGCAACTGCATCCACTGATATATTATCCCACAGGTCTGCAGCACACAAAATCTTCAGACGATCCAAGGCAAACCGGTCCGCTGCAGCGAGCAAGTGCCGAAACATGTCATCCGGGGAGTCCCCGAGCTCGTCATCGTCAGGACAAGCATCGGTGTGTACATGAACTCAAGCATGACTTTGAACGTGGCCGGCGCAGTGCCATGCAAGGTGATGGATGACATGTTGGCCTCGGCCATGGACCCCAGGAGCTGCGCCTTGAAGACCGGCGAGCGGGCGGCAAGAGAGCAGCCCGGTGAGAAGGGAACTTCTCGCCGTCAACCACGATTGTGACATCGGAACCCTCTGCTGAATCCGTGGCCTCCGTCCGCAGCCTCGCATATGAATGCGACTGCCATCCATTTCAGGCTTCGTTTGGATAGGGCGGGATTGGCGTGGATTGGGGCCAAACCCCGCTAGCGGTGGATCCGATCCACGCCGGGTGGGCAAACCACGTGAGTGCAAAATTCGCATTTGGGAAGACGTGGATGGGAACGAATCCAACTCAATCCTCCTCAAACCGCGTGGGTCTCGCGCATCTCCACTCGTGGCCGGAACGACTCACGCCCGTCGCTAGCGAGCTCGCTCCGCTCCGCTCCCGCGAACGACTCACGCTCGAGTGCTCGACGCCGACGCAGCGACGCTCCGCTCCGCGGACGCTCGGCAAGTGAGACCGGCGGCGTCGGGTGGATCAGGTGCGCCTCCACCTGCCCACATCCCCATCTTCTCCTTCCAATCCCATCCCCTTTCCCCTTTTCCTCGTCTCTTTTCTTGCTAGGGTTTGAATCGCACGGCCGCCTTCGCTTGGCGTCCAGTCCTGCCGCGTGCTTGCGCCTTGCCTACGCCTAAACACCGCGCGATAGCTAGTGCACGCGTTGGCTTGGCTTGCTTGGGGGACTATAGTTCTTGAGATTCGAATTGGTGTGTGGGTTCCACTGTTTGGTCTCCGTTTTGACTCTAGTTCCGAGCTCTGACGTCGTCATTGCATTTTAAGCTTGTTCCATATATTAGTGTGGACATATGGTGCTACAGAGCTTCAAGTTATACAAGTTACTGAACTAGCCTGTTATCAACATATGGAGATCTCCTATTGCGCTTTTAAATTTAAACTAAGTGTCTCGCTACTTATTAGAACAATATAACTAAGGTAGTGTTTCTGTATTTAAGATATATATGGCTAAGGTTGTGTATCTGTATTTAACATATGGACTAAACATGGAGCGCAATTCTCGACGACAATAGTTTAAGTATCACTAGTGATGTTTCTTGGATCAGTTAGGCCTGATTTCAGTGTAGGAGCGGCAATGCAATTCAGGGTTCGTACTATGACAATAAAATTCAGTGTAAGAGAGATGCCAAAGAGAAGTAATTTTGATTAATTGTAGATACTACACACAAACTTCTAATACTTCTGTTTTCTACTAATATTCTAGGCTATGTAACACGGGTTAATGTGCTGGTTCTATCTTGCTGCGGAATGAAATTGCTACGGTAGTAATAGGAGCTTGGGGCGTTGATGGGAGCCTGCAGGCTGTGTAATGAAATTGCTACTTTTGTGTGCTAGTTATGCCTGAATCAAAAGCAAGTGTGCTAGTTTGCCAAACGATTTACTAAAACGGCTCCAGCTCCACCGATAGAGCTGTTCATGGAGCTGAAGCCCAAAAAAACGGCTTCACTAGTGAAGTGGAGCCGTGCCAAACGGGGCAGAACATTAGTGCATATTTTTTTCTGATGATGAAATGGCTGGTAAGAGTTGCATGCAACTATCTATCACCATGCCCTGGTAAGGGTTGCAGTCCCACATCCTACTTGAACCAATTCAGTAGTAGTAGTTAAACTCAATAGTAGTAGTTACATGCAACTATCACCCGGTAAGAGTTGCTCAAGACTATATGGACGTATGGTATTGGTAGGAGAAATTATTTTCAATTGTGTACATTTTGTCCTTTATGTTTCAGTGCATAGGATCACCATATAATGGTTCAGCTTTCATTTGGCAGTAAGGGATGACAATAGGAGGTTTAGCTTTGTTCTGGTTCCTTCTCCCATCTGTCCAACATGTCTATCTGTTTATTTGGTCAGTTTCAGTACATCTTTGATATCCATGATGCAGAGCATGATCACCTTTTTTTTATGCCTGATGTATATTTCAGTTTTAAGTAATTAATGCGAGATGGGAACTGGGTGTGGGTGGTCATTGTTGTGGCTGTCATTGAGTAAAGATCTCAGGGAAAAACATCCAAGAAGCTTCAGAAATTTAGCACTTGGATTTTTTATATGCTCAGTGTAATTCTTATTTTGCCGTTTAGGTAAGCAGAACTAGTTTCTCCATGTTCTCTGGTCTTTTGCTGTCCTCTGGAGCACATACATATTATACACGTGCAATAATGCAGAAATATGTTGCTGCCCGCCACCACTCTGATATCTACAATTAGTACCGTAAATATGTCATCTGCCAGCCTTGTAAATTAAATAATTTGCTGATGGATCGATCATTCGATCGACGAGCATACACTGAGAATTTGAGATACGCAGTACCGGAGGCAAGTCGGCTAGTGCTTACTGTACCACACTAGCTAGACATACATCTAGGTCTGCTGGCTAAGTATTTATTTATCACTTGTTTGTGGTATCTCAGAAGTATTCTTGCCTTGTTGGCTCACCAATGTCTAAAAGTATAAAGACTTGCTTGCAGGAATAGAAGTGAAAGTGCACTTTTCGTTTCAAGTGCAAGTCCAAGTGGTTTGAGTTCAACTTCTTTCACATTGATCTGTTCTTCGGCACTGCTGGGATGATGGCCACATTGATCCATTCTTCAGCGCTGCTAGGATGATGGGAATATTTTATTTATTTGGGAATATTGAGAACAGAATGTCTTGTTTTCTAAATTTGTATGCATGTGAAAGCTACCTAGTTCAATATGTTGATGGGCATGTCTTTCTTGCTTAGCCGTGAGTTACTTTTAAATTTGGTGAAGAATGTTCCAGTATATAACTATGTGATTACATCAGACATTTTTTGTATAATGTTTCAATCGTTGCTGCACCTTGCCATACATTTATTTTGTCGAATTTTACAGACGAAAAGTGGTTTCTCTTGCTCATTTTCTGTTATTATTTTTGAATTTTAGACATGGATTTTACTATTATTTTCTTGAATTTTAGAGCTCGTTTCCTGATTTTGGTGGTATCCCATGGTTCAGTGCTGAACTTTAGAACTCTGCCATTTTAAATTATGGTCAAATAATATGTAAAGTCAATGTTGAATTAGCTTTGATGAGCATTAGTAGTACACGGACGCAATAAAACGTCGACCTGGGCCAATTCGCGCACGATCCAAATGACGCCAGGGAAGCAAGGGATTGGGTCACGGTGATGGCAGGGGATTGAGTGGTGGGAGGAGATCCGGGTTCCCAATTTCCCAGAGAGAGAGAGAAGCACAGCCGCACAGGAAGCCGACCGGTCCGCCCGCTGCCTTCCTCGAGTTGCCGGGAGGGATACGCGTGGAGCGAATGCCGGTTCTCGAGCGCAGTTGTGAGGTAGTGGGACACGTCCACGAAGCGAGGCTGCGTAGCGTATCGCCTTGATGAAGACGACGAACAGGCAGCGAAGAAAGCCACCGCTGCCGCCGGCCTCGAAGTCTCGAAGGGCAGGGCAACGCACGAGAGAACTAGCAAAAGGAAAAGAACCTGTGCGTTGTAGGAAATGGGAACATGTCTTCTCCAGCACACCCCTCACTGAGTAGTAGTTTTTTTTTTTTGGGGGTATGTTTTGTTTTAACTAAACTCAAGCAGTTTTTACTTGGATTAAATCTAGAATTGCAATGGATATACGATACGACGCAACCAGCAAGAACTGGGTTTGCAGGATAAGGGGGAAACAATCCCCAAGGCATCATCATGAATTAACACCCCAATGATCATCAAATATTCCAGAAAACATAGAATAGGTACATCAACAAACCAGTTAGTTGCCTTCAAGCGCTACCAACATCACGGAGTTCTCTATTTATACACCGCCTCAGCCTTGATTGATAGGAATCTGTCAGTGGAGTTAACTCTGCAAGTCGATGATGATGCACTTGCACATATCCAAGATCAACGAGTTGTCTAGCTACCACACAAGCTTAAAGATGGCTCAACTGGTACTGGTAGGCAATGACTTCGAAGACTTCCTCTTTCTGTGAGCCATTGCTGATAGTATCTTTTTCCTGGGACCCTGTAAACAAGAAGCAAATGAAGGAATATCCACAATAAACCGAAGTAGATTGAAATCAAATGATTGCTGGGTAATGATGCAATCAGAGATGGAACTAGAACATAATGGACATTGCTGCCATTTTTCAGTTGTACATTCAGTAGTTGAAAATGGAGAGAAAAAAACATGAGATGCATATCAAAAAGACAAATCAATATTTCCATTGACATGGCAATAGCTCGATGTACTATGCATGTGGGGCTAGCTGAAACACTGACTGAACATATCTTCAGTACCTACTTCCTCCATTCCAAATTAGTTTTGTTTTATTCTAAGTCAAACTTCTCTAACTTTGCCCAAGGTTTTAGAAAAATGCACCAATATCATGAAATATGTTATCATAGTGCATTAATTTTGAACTTGTAGATAATAATATATTTTTCAAAGAAACTTGGTCAAAGTTAGAGCAGTTTGACTTAGCCCAAAGCCAAAGTGAAATATAATTTCAACTGGAGGGAATAAGTTTTCACTATTTAGAGCATCTGGTTTAAATTTATGATAACCACAGAGAAAACACACAGCACCAACTAATCAGGCCATTCTAATTCAGTTTACCAATCAAAGTTACTTCTCATTAGACAAACTGGGACTAAAAGTATGGATAAATGGTGGTCAGACTGAATACATATTCAACAAGTAGAAAGCAGATAACAAAGGCTACACTATGGGTGCGACTCATTCAAAATAGTTTAAAAACAAAAAGAAGTCATCAGCAAAGTTCATAACTCATAAGTTAGTAACTCAATTGCTACAGTTTCGCTTTTATGATGGCTCTGTCAATCTATAAGAAGGGAATTAATAAAATTATCAAATTCTACCACCTTAAATATATGCATATTGCTTCAACCCAGAGAGGTCTCCTATTTAAGCAGAGGATAAGCATGCTAACCCAGTTGAGGAAAGAAAAAGGCAAAGTAAGAAAAATGCAAAGTCCTTGCGGTACCATTGGAATTCCTAAAGATTTCATATCTTCTTCATTCATGTAAACCAGTGCTTTCATATCAACCTGAAAGATGAATATCCATTAACAATATTTAGGGTCACTAGTCACACCCACAATATGAAATTGCCACATATATCAAACGTGCCTCTTCAGCCTGGAAATTTATCAAATACTTCTCTAGATCAAGAGACTTCAGTAAACTGTCAAGCGAAGCATCAACCTGCACATATCAAAGAAACAAATTATTACAGCATTGAAATAAGTGTTAACGAAGACCAAATTTCATACAAGAATTTATACACAGCAGTGCCAGTAAGGGGCTAGGCAAATGAAACTTTGGAATTCAAACATGCTAAAGAGCTAGAATATTAATCATTTACTAGATCAGAATTCAAAACCAAAGGTTGTACAAACATCAAAGGGACTCCAACATCAAATGGTCATGTAGTCCATTATATTCACAGGGCAGTGCCACAGCAAATGGAAAATAAGAAAAGATGATGGTATGATGTTTCCCATTTCAGAAGAACAAATAGTGGAACTGCAATAACTGATCAGGATACAATCCTGTAAGAAAACACAACATAGATCCTCAACCATCTCACCTTGTCCTGAGATTGCTTTGGTGGTGCAGATGGTGCTGGTTCGGGTGCAGGTGCACTGACTTTCTTAATGACAATTGGGGCAGCAGCTGGAGGGGGGTCTCTCTTTTGAACAGGTTTGTCGCTCTTAATAACCTCTTTTACAGGTTTTGGCACCTGAACAGTACTGCTAAGTTGAGGGCGCTGGCTCGGGACACCAGATAACTTTTCACGAAGATCTGAAACTGGTGATTTCTTCACAACCTCAACCCTTTGCTGCACTTGAGATTTTTGGTTTGATTGCAGCTTTCTGGAAATAGGTTCAGCTAAAACATACACAGTAGAAGCAACAAGCTAATGGTAAATTATGAGAAGGAAAGCAGGAATAAAGGCATGTTCAGAATTATTCGAACAATGGCCCTTACATGAAGTTTGAGTTCCTCTAGAAGCCTTATAAAGCTCACGTCTCCACGTCCCATCATCCCGGCGAAACCTGCAAAATCCCGGCAGAGATATATAAACAATAACAATAAGATTATTCTCCTTCTGAATAACATGGGATATCTGAACCAACTGATCACATCAACAATTTGTAATTCTCAGAAAGTGAAAACACAACAGCCATTCAAAGCATTGCATGGTTAAGGCTGCAATAAGAAGATGTGGTCGGTGTATAAGAGCCTGTTTGGATCCCATGGGCTAACAACTAGCAGCTAAAAAATAGCTCTAGCCCATCCAAACAAGACTAATGGGTGGGCTAATTTTTAGCCAAGCTCTTGGCTAGTTGTTAGTCAATTAGCCAAACACAACTGTATAACAAGGGCTAATAGTTCATTGCTAGGATGTATGCACCTATTAGCTGGGGATCCAAACATTAACTGGCTAATAGTTAGCAGGCTAATTTTTAGCTAGCTATTTTCTAGCTCTGGCTAACAATTACGTGCTGTTTGGTTCGGACGTTGGTAACGTGATCTGTTTGCGGAGGGTAACTGATCCCGTTGCATGATGTTTGTTTTAGGCGCGGTGTAATCGGATCACGCCGTTATCCGATACCGCCCTTCGCAAAAGCGACACCGCTGCCATCGCGACGCTATCCGATATCTGAGGTGAATAAAGGAAATTATCGTTCACTAACCTGGACACCGCGGCTCCGCTTGTTGTTTGCTCACGCGGTCGTGAGGTGAATAAAGGAAGCACAAAACGACAAGATGCATGCAACAGGCAAGCACAAAAGATGCATGCACTGCTTCTTTTCTGTGTTGACGTTACCGGAGATATAACCAAACAAATCAAGGAAGTGCATACCATGTTTACGGTACCGCTGTTTATCCGATCCCTTTACGTTTGCGTTTACTTATCTGAACCAAACAGCACCTTAGCCTTAGCCGATCCAAACAGGCCTAAAATATAAATGCACATCGATGGGTAGGTGATGAGCAATAACAGGAGTAGCAAACATGGTTTCACCTCAAGCAAACCCAGTGTATTTTCCATTTGTATGAGTGGAAAGTGGGCGAACCCATAAACTACAAAAAACTGGAACAAAAATGTGCATCCACACACTTTGCTGGTCTGCCTATTAGTTCTACACGAATTAAGGAAGAATGCAATGTAATTCGAAACAATGACTAGATCACATTTGCAGCAGCAGCAGCAGCAGCAGCAGCACAAGCATCTATATATCTGCCGATTCACACAATCAACCACAAGCATTGCACACACTAACTACCGATTGGATCCCGTATACAAACAACACAACTAGCGAAGGACGAAGGTAATAAGCTTTTCAACTTTTGCAAGCAAGCCTTAAAAGTACCAGCAACACGAACCATTCGATTCGAAGTCCATAAACAACATTTCCGCAGCCACCACTCACTGGTTGTCGATCCAGCCCAGAAGTCGCGACCACGTAGCGCCAACAAGCACGGGAATGGCGAAGCGAGCAACGATTTTGAACCGGGCGAGCTCGAGGGCGTACCTTTTTGCGCCATCAGACCGCGAGCGCGAGGCGCCGCCCGACCCGAGGCGGTCCATTACAGAGCGCTTCCGCCCCGAGGTCCTGTCGGCGTACATCGAGACCGCGGCGTCGGCGGCGAGGGCTTGGGAGCGAGTGCGCGTAGGGTTTCGTCGGCGAGAAGGGGAGGAGGAATACAAGGCGGTGGGGAGAGGACAGAAGGACAGAGGACCGGTGGAGTCGTGGAGAGAGCTACGTGTTGGTCTGGGCCTGTGCTTGAGCATAATCAGCCCAATACTAGATTTCCTCTAGGCCTGGAAATTGGAACACGTAAGGCCCATGGCTAGGCGTGATCCATGAGAAATTTGACGGTTTTGTCCATGTGCAAATATAAAAAGACATTTTTCTTCCCATAAAAAAAATGTAAAAGCCTTAAGCAATAATAACAGTGTAAGCACCAGTTTTACTTAAAACCACAAGAATTTTAGCTGCCATGACACCTATATGAAAGTCAGACAACTCTTCAAAGAGGTGGATGCTCGGTGAATGGAGATATAATTGGCCATGCAACGAACTCCGTCGGCCCGGCCCAAGCACGGCCCGCAAAAAGCATGGGCGGGCCACATCGAGCCCGACTGCTAAGAGCACCAAGCCACCACGGCCCCCATGGCAGCGCCCCCAGCCCCCAAAAACGCTGCCGCGAACCCTATCCTCGCCGATCGCCTCCCCACGCGGCCGCCCTCCTCGGCTCCTCGCCTCCCCCCCTCCTCTCCCTCCCTCGGTGGCCCTCCTCTCCCCTCCAACCAAGCACGTAAGCCGCTCGACCACAGCGAGTGAGCGCACCCGACCACCTTAAGCCGCGCGCCCATCTCCCTCCAACCACGATGGCGATGCTGAGCAGGTGGCACATCCACCGAGCCTCGCAGCCCGACGAGATCCGGATCCATGGGCCGCGAGATCCGGCGTGAGGCGGAGGACGACGAGATCCACGCGACAGGAGGCGTGTGGCGCTCCCGGCGACGGATCGAGGTGGTGGCGTCCCGGTGGCGGATCGGATCGGCGGGCGCGCTCACCGGTGGCGGATCTAGGGTTCTCAGCGGCAATTTCCTTCCCGCAGAGGCGTCCCGTCGGCCCCACCTAGGCGGCGAAGCGATAAAAGACAGGCGCCTGTGGCGCCCCCTGTTCTCTCTCTCGTGGGCCTCGGGGCAAGCGGCGCGTGAAAATTGCCGTCAGTGCCTTGCCAAACGGAATGCCCATAGGGCCATTCTCGGCCGGAGGCAAGGCCCGTGGGCGGTGAGGCCGCGGCGGGAGGCCACGTCTTGCGTGGCCTTAGCTATCGGTCTTGGCTGCGCGATGCACGTCTGCTTTTAGCTGAGGCCATCTATAATTGGAGAAGCGAGGAGGATAGAAGGGCAAGGATAAAGATGTCCATGTTCGTATAGAGGTACAAGCTTGCCAATATGATACACGTGTTAGTACTGGTTTCTTTTAGCTGAGCAATGTGAGAAGAGAAATGGCAAGGGAGCAAATAAGCAAAAACTAGATTCTCCCATCGATTTTGTCAGTTTTGGTAATGTCATTGTGCTACCACGATGAACCGGCAAAGATGGCACAAGCATCTTTTAATTGGCTAAAAAAGAAACAAGATGTCACAACATATCTACATACGTATATGTACAGTTTGAGCAGCCCTGACACGAAGGATAAAGGTAGTTGGCTTCAAAAAGTGACCATACCATCATCTAGACCTGGATACTATGCCAGCTCCAAAACATCTTTTAGGTTTGATTCAGCTTTTTTGAGAAGTAATTTTTTGCCGATTCTATAAAGTGGTTATCTAAAATGAATTAGGTTTGATTCCCGTTTTTTTATTGAAAAAAAAAAAGTCAAGTATTGTTTTGCTGATTTGATATGAGAGTGGTTATCTGAAAAAATGATTATAAGAAAAGGAACATTGTGAGCTGAAAAGAAAAAGATTTTCTTGATTCACTCCACGTACATAATTATTGTATGTATAGAGCTTATCTTATAGAAACAATTTAAGTAAAAAATCACTTCTCACAAAAAATATGGAACAAGAGGAGCTCATCTCCCAAATATTATAAAAATAGATTCAGCTACCTATGACTTATCAAAAGGTGAGAATGACGGATGAAGCATGTACTTATGGTTGCCTCCTGTTCCTTCACCCAACGCTAGCACGAAACATGCAGCTCTTCTCCCGAACACAGAAGGTGCAGCTGGCTCCAAACGTTAATCGTACAAGTAACCAGAACTTGAGAAGAACCATGTGGTCCGTGTCCGTCCATGGTTGTTGGGCTGCTGGCTGCTGCACTGTAGCGCGTGGCGTGGTCGTTATTTCAACACGTACTGGGAACCGAGTCACCAGGCCGGACGACTGCTCCCGCCTAACCGCCGGACATGGCTTTGGCTTCCCTCCCGCCGGCCCGCGCCGCGCTCGTCGCCCCTTGTGTCGCGCTCTCAATCTCAGGCGCTCCCGAACGACGACTCTCGCACGCCCAGCCGAAGCTGCCGTACGTGTTCGAGGAGGAGGGCGACACGTACGCCGACGCGGAAAACAGGCACGGACGGCGTTGGCTGAGCCCTCGATCGAGGCAACCGGGTCGGCAGGAGACCAACGCTAGCCTCCAGGTCCCAACCGCGGACCGTCCGTGGTACCGATACCGATCGGGAACCGCTTACGTGGCCGCCCCTGGCCGACGGACGACCCGGCCCGCGTGCGGCGTGCCTACTCACCAGTCACCACCGCTCCGCGCTCCGCCGAGAGAGAGCCCAAGGAAAACGGACGACGCGCACGACCCGGCCCCGGCCCCGGACAGCGTTTCCCCACCAAACTCTCGGGTCTTGTTGCCGTCCACCGCGTCGCGGCCGCGCGAGCGACAGCATAACCTGACCCTGACGATGGCAGTCGGCAGCAGGTGCTTGCCTTGCTGAGGTGAGCGCGTGCGTCCACACTCGAGAGTGACCCACAAGGACAAAAACTAAAATGACCCCCTTTTTTTATAATAAAACTGAAAGGACCCTTTAATAACAACTCTGGCATCTTTACATTATACTAGTACTATCATGGTATAAAGCACAAAACAGCATAACAAATCACCTACTGTGCAGATTAAAGGAATATTATCAGCCGGTTCGACGATTTGGTTAAATTCTTTGGTTCATTGAAGAAATCTTACTTGGGTGATTTGTGTAAAGAGAAAAATATTGTTTTATTAAAATTTACGATCATTTCTGATAAGCTACGACCAAACAAACAGGCTGATTGTTTGGGCAACTGGAAGCATCCAGCTAACGAGCTCGGATCTCATTGGGTGGTTGTTGCTGTGCAACTGCAGCTGCAAATTGCAACACCAGCAGGGAGCGGTCAAAGATGGACGCCAACGTTTGTTTTTTAGTGTTTGTTTATTAATGATCCGGTGTGGTGGACTGGCGCACCGGCGGAGCTGCATACGTTGAGCTCGTCAATCGTCGTCGTCAACGGTCCCGTTTGACTTGGCTTTTTCGTTTTGTTATACCCCAAAAAATCGTCCATCTTTTTAAAAGGGTTGTGTTTTCAATAGCTTTTCTTTTGCAAAAAATAGTAAGCTTTGAGGATTCTTTGGGTCATAATTGTGTGTGGTTGTCAATTTTCATGGGGTAAATCAGTTATATCTGCTCCGATCCTGATAATTCCTAACAAACCTCTGTATTACAGCTGAGGCTGTTTGGTACGTCTGAAATGACAAGCAGAGTTACCCAAAAAGAAACAAAAAAAAGGCCACATGGATTCCAAGCACGAAATAATCTCCACTCAAAGGAATGTAATTTTGGTTTTTACGAGACAAACAATTTTAGATACTGACGTCTATGGTTGTATAAGATTATTATTATAAAATATTTTGTAGTCACACTATCTAGAAACATAATTGTTGGTACTATTTTTTAATAAACTTAATTAAATTTAGAATAAATTAACTTCTTTGGAATTTAGAATTATATATTCTTTTCTTTGACAGAGAGTAGAATGGGATTGATTGGTAAGAAAAGGTACCACCAGAAAAGAGCCCGGCCTCGTGGTGCCTTGCATATAAGAATGCAACGCAACCGGCCTCTCTCCCCGTCATTTTCTTGGCGTTATAGTCTTGCCGGCCGGCCTGGAGGATCGATCAGCAAAGCTAAGAGCCAGGCGGCAGGGGCCAGTCGTCGGAACCGCATAAATCCATCCATCCCCTCCCTCTCCCTGCAGGCCGGCAGCCGTTGGAGGGAACCACAGACGACAAGGCAACCCCAATCGAGTCTGATCCCTCTTCTCGTCTCGTCTCATCTGTGCGCTGGAAACACCGCCATGGCTGTAAGTTCCTCTCCTCGCTCGCCTTCCATGGCAACAGCCTTCGATGCTTTTCACAGTTTTATTACTACTGGTTCATTTCCGTTGTGACTTGTAAGCCACACAGTTTTTTCAGATAGAAGTTGTAGCGCCATCTAGTTTGCATCTTGTATTCCTATACTTTGCACAAAAGAACAAGTCTTTCACCACCCAGAATTGGGTGTTCCATGCTTCTCTTGGAAGGGGTTCAGTTCATTTCGTCTCCGTATGGTTTCCGGCCGGATGCGATATCTTCTGAACCTGAATTTTCTGAAGGAACAAGAGCATCGCTGCGAATAGACATCTAGACATTAAGAGCAAAAGTTGGGACCGTTTCCTGTGGTAAACCAAACAAACCTTCTTCGGAGCAATCGGATTAATTAGAGCAACAGCAACCGAGTTCCGAGTTAGAACTAGAACTAGAGCCCATTTCTTGCGTAAGCTGTTGAATATCTTGGCGTGTGGAGTTTCAGAACTAGTGAAGAGTCCTTGCCTGAAACTTGCGAAATGTCTTTCTGTCACAATCTGTTGCCCTGGTAGTCTTCATCTCTCATAAATGATAGATGCACAAAGCTAGAGATGCTGCTAGGTTAACTGACTGGAATACGACTACCAGTTTTTTTTTTAAATAAGAGTCGTATGAATGAAGATTGGAATACACGCACCATATAATTCAAAACAAACTCATGGTGTAAGGCGTGCACGCACCCAGATTCACCTAGTCTAAAAATTTGCACTTAGAACCCGTTT